TAGAAGAGAAGATAGGTTATAGTTCACATAGGAAGGCTGAGATTGTTTTTAGAAGCTTTAAAAATGTTTTACATGTGATATGTGTATGTACATATAGATATTTAATATAACAACTCAGTATATATGTATATAAAGATATATGCATACATGTACTTTTATATATATGTATGTGGGTATGTGTTGCATTAAAAATGTTTGAAAATACAAAATGATTAGTATTATGGGGAGTTACAGAGAAAGTGGTAAAAGATATAGTTCATGTAATTTAATGGAAGAGGAAGACCAAGCATATATGTTTATTACTGGGTCAGTTTACCAAATGACAAATATGTAGCCTACATATTAATGAATAGTAAACATTCTGCCATTCAGAAATGTTGGGAAATAAAGTGTTATGATTTTTCAACCATTGTTGTTACCATAGAGCTATCATAATGCCATTGATAGATTTAAATATTTAGAATCCAGTGAGGTACAGTCAAAACTAAAATGATTTTGAACTTAATTTTTTAAATTGATTTGACGGGGCTGGGGGAGAGAGAGAGAGGTGAGAGAGAAACATTGATTGCTTGCCTCCACACATGACCCGACGGGGATCACATCCACATCTGGGTATGTATCCTGACTGGGAATTGAATCCGCCCCCTCTTGGTGTACAGGATGAAGCTCTAACCCAGCGGTTCTCAACCTGTGGGTCGCGACCCCTTTGGGGGTCGAACGACCCCTTCACAGGGGTTGACTAAGATCATCGGAAAACACATATATAATTACGTATTGTTTTTGTGATTAATCACTATGCTTTAATTATGTTCAATTTGTAACAATGAAATTGGGGGTCACCACAACATGAGGAACTGTATTAAAGGGTCGCAGCATTAGGAAGGTTGAGAACCACTGCAAGAACCACACCCGCCGGGTATTTTAAACTTGCTTTGATTTTTCACTGCTGATTTAGCCAACTTTAGGATCTTCTGTATCTTTGGCATAATCGTGGTAAACGTTCAATATCTATGTGTAAGTAAAGCATGGAGAGGCATCCTTTAAGACATAGAATGCTCATTTCCGGGTTCCCACCTGAGGCTTGGCATGTTTTCTCGATTACTTAGCTACTCTTGAAGGTTGAAGAGTCCAGTTTTTGGCTTTTCTCAACCTCTTTCCTCTTCCTGTGTCTTTAGCATCTGGCTTGGCATATTTAGCATCTGGGAAATCTTTTTTTTAAAGTATATTTTTATTGATTTCAGAGCGGAAGGGAGAGGGGAGAGAGAGAAACATCAATGATGAGAATCATTGATTGACTGCCTCCTGCATGTCCCCTACTGGGGATCGAGCCCGCAACCCTAGCATGTGCCCTTGACCTGAATCGAACCCGGGACCCTTCAGTCTGCAGGCTGACGCTCAATCCACTGAGCCCAACCAGCTAGGGCCGGTAAATCCTTATTGAATGAATGCATGACTCTCTTAGTAGCTCCTCATTTCTCTTGAGTAAAAGCCGAGTCCTTACCATTGCCTAAAAGCCCGTGGGTTCCCTGTGGCCTGCCTCACGTCATTTCATTCACTCATTCCAGCCACGCTGCTTCCTGTTCCTGGACTTCTCCCTGGAACGCTGTTCCTCACATACCCATGTGTCCATCCCTTTGCCTTCTTCCAGCCTTGGCTCAGATGCCACCTTCTCAGGGAGCCTTCTCCAACACAGCTTCCCTCGACCCTGCACTGTCTATCCCCTGGCCTGCCCTATTCTTGCCTTTCTACACGGCACTTACCACTTCTGAGCAAATTGCTTCATTTACCTGTTGAGTAGGTTTATTGTTGGACTGTCCACCCTGATTGTGCTTGCTGATGTAACCCCGGATCGTATCTGGCACTTAGTGGGCACACATAACAACCTGCCAGTGGTTTGCATGGTTGAATGAGTTTGAGTGTGGATTTTGACCTACTTTGGTTTCTTCTTTCCACCTTACGTGACATGGTGACTTTTCTGGTCTCTTCCTGGCATTTAGCATTCACCCACCACAGTACTAGGGACTCAGCACATAGAAACAACTCTCTTAGAAGTTTTTATAGAAATGGAGAGTTGGGTCTATATTTAATGTTAAATATTAATAAAGGTCAATAAAATATTGATAATTTTTTTCTTTGGCTTATGAAAACCAATCTTGACATTTTTTTCTAACAGCACAGACTTATTGATGTTTGCTCTGTTTCCCATATTAAATTTTGGGTTTTCATAGAAATAACTTTAGTCCTTTTTATTTTCTGATAGTATGTGCTAGGAAACTTGAGACATAACGGGTCTTCAAAAACATTGCTGCTTTGCCAGCCTGGGACTGAGTCTGCTGTGGCTCCTGAAAAGTCCTGGCTGTGGCCTCCCACTGTGCCAGTCTTTGGGGGTCAGGTCTCTCATCTGCCAGTGTGGTTCCACAGCGTCCATGTTCATCTCTGCCTGTGGAGTGTTCACGGAAAAGACCAAAAGGGTGGCCTGGCTGGTGTGGCTCCCCTTATCTTCATTTGTTAGCTGCTGAGTTCAGAGTTGATGTGATTTGCCTGAGGTCTTGTAGGCAGTAAGTGGTGGATCTGGACTTGAACCCAGGCCAGGCTGTGTCTGTGGCTCTACCTTTCAATGGCCCAGTTGTGCGCATGGACTTCCTGTCACAGTGACTGAGTATTTGATTCCCGTTTTGGCTCATACAGATATGGTAACATCTTCATTTGGATGTGTGCTAGTATGCTTTTTTTAGAGTATAATTTGACCCCGAGAACTCCTTCCATCATGCCTGGGAAACAAGACAGTATTGCTTCTTAAGGAACGAAAAAGGATCTTGATGTCTTAGAAAAATTGTCAAGTTTTTCATCCCTTTTAAGTACTTTGTGATCTTCTGTGGAGGTGTCAGTCTTGTCTTTTTTCCCTTGAGTTTGGAAGTAACTAGGAGACTGGTCACTGTTGGACTTGAATATCACTTAAAATAAATCATCCCCTTTTTTGTTATTTCCTTAACGTGCTCTTTCCAACTTTGTTAAAAACTATCTCTCCTCCTTCTCCCTCAAGCCCCCACCCTTCCGTCTTATGCTATGAAACATCTGCTTCTCCCATCTTAAGGTTTGTCATGCCCCTGAGCATGTGTGTTTGTGCGCATGCGTGCCCTTGTGCCCGGGCCGCACCTTGGCTGTGGTGCTGGTTGCAGCACAGTGTTGTCTGAGGGTGGCCTTGTCCTAGTTTCCTCATAGATGGTTCTGGCCTTTATTAAGCTTGGGAGATGGAACTGCCGTACTTTGCAGCATGAAGAACTCAATGCAAACCAGCAAGGAAGATAGGAAACCTGTCTGTTGTTTAGCTTTAGGCAGGTGGACTGTTTTTGCTCTGACTGAAAGAGTTTCTTGTTTGAAGGGCGAGGCCGGGCATGAAGGGCCCTGGCATGGGGACTTCTCTCTGAAAGTCTGTTGGCCGCCCTGCCCTGCTGTCTTGTCAGCTCAGACCTCGGTGGCTGTTTCTGTCCTGCGCTGGCCAAGAGGATGTGTGTGTGTGAGTCCATCTGGACTGCCCTCATCCATTAGATGTGCCCCCCAAGGAGCTTTTGGGGGCCAGGTCTTTGAAGAGTCCGATCCCTTCGACTGTACCCCAGGAAAGCCCCAGGGCCAGTTCTCTGTGCTCCAGAAGAGATGATTTGTGGGTGTGGCTGTCGCAACGCTTTATTTCTACCAGGAAACAGAATGCATCTGCTTTGAAGAGGTCCTTCCTTTCTATTTTGGGAAGTAAGCCAGACAGCCGATAGACAACATCTGGCTTTGTGGTCCTTCTCCTTCCTTCCCTCCGGCTTAGTGCCTGCTGGGAGTTGCTCAAAGTCACCCTCTTTGCATGCATCCCTCAGTGTTTGAAAGGCACCAAGAAATGGTTTCTGATGCTTTGTTAAGAGACAACTTGTCAAGCCCTTGGTCGAGGCCCGATGGCCAGACCCTGCGTGTGGCCGCCTGGTGCCAGTGGTTTGCATCTCATGCTGGGCTCTGCAGGGAGGCTGCTGGCAGTGCTTCCTGTGGGCCCCTCAGGCCAGTCTCAGCTCGTGAGGAAGCCGATCCTTGGGCCACAGAGACACACCTGTGGTCAGCATTTCTTGGCATTAGTTTACTCTGAAACAAGTCAGCTCCATGAGAGAAAGTATCAAAACGAAAACTGTGGCATTTATGGGTTGAATGAATGCACACATGCATTTTGTGTCTTGAAAATGTACCTGACAGTCCTAGCCAAACCTGACGGGGCCGGTTTGGCTCAGCGGATAGCGCATCAGCCCGAGGACTGAAGGGTTCCAGGTTTGATTCTGGTCAAGGGCACGTACCTTGGTTGCAGGCTTGATTCCTGGCGCGTGTGGGAGGCAACCAATCGATGTGTCTCTCTGACATCAGCGTTTCTCTCTCTGTCCTCCTCCCTTCCACTCTCTAAAAATCAATGGAAAAATATCCTTGGGTGAGGATTAACAAAAAGAAAAGAAGCCAAAAAGAAAAGAAAATGTATCTGACACAAAAATCCATGCATGTTTGTTCCTGCGTGTGGGCCCATTGTTAAGGAACACCACAACATTGCTGAAAAATGTTGTAAAGCAAAACATGGTTCTGGAAGGAGAGCTGTGTGTTCTGTTTTCCTTGATCTCTTTCTGTAGCGTTAAGTACATTTCCTCCGTTTGTGCTTTTCCCTGTCCCAGTTTATAAATGTCCGCCAAGTGGTTCTCTCCTCTTGTCTCCCTCTAGAGGTCATGGTGTTTTCAATGGCTGCACTTCACGGGACCCCATCCCCAGCGGGAGCCAGCCCTGTGTCAGAGAAAGGAAGGAAGCATGCGATCAGGTCTCTCTCATAACCTTTGTGCGGAACACGTGTCTTCCTTCACCTTAAAGAGGAAGCGAGGACGTTCTGAAGATTGAGAACAAATGTGCCTCACTTCCTTTGTGATTTCCCAGGACCGGCCATTCATATAGCCCCTTCTGGGTGGAGGCAGGTCCTTGTCGCATGTTACTTTTCAGGAATACCTGCACTCCGCCTCTTCTTGCTCTGCCTCTCACCAGTCCCTGGTTCCCAAACTGCAGCCACTGAACCTGCAGTGCCGTGTGAACTGCTGGAAGCGTGTCAGGAACGTGGCCTTGAGGAGACGGCTTGGGGTTAGTGAGATCGCCCACAGGACCACGCTTTATCACTTTGGAGAGCCATGTGTAGATTCCTCAAATGCTTCGCGCCAAGGGTGTGAGAGGACCTCCGCCAGCACCTCTGTGAGCGCCTGTGCTTATTAATTCCCTTCAGTGCCCTTCTCTCAAGGGAACAGTTCTTCTGAAGGCTTGCTTTCATTTGTGGGGGCATAGCATTAACACTCAGCCTTCTTTTCCTTGCAGCACTGGACTTTGTGAAGACCTGTGTTTTGTGAGATTATGGAAAAGGCAGGCACTTACTAGAACTGAGGGTCAAGGGAACTGGGTAGGGTCCATCTTCTGGGCCTGTTTCTTTCTCTGCACGGGGAGGCATCTCAGTGACCCTCCAGTTCCCTGCTGTGGGCCATTGGCTATTTTCACACATAGAGATGGGCTCAAGAGAGTTAAAATTATGCTGGGAAGAAGAGGCGAGTTTATTAAAATTCTCTGCCTCGTATGTCATGGGACTGGTGTTTTTAAGTTTTTCTTGGCTTGAGTTTGAGAACTGCTGCCTGAGAGACTGAGCACCAGGGGATGGATAAACCTTGGAGATGACGTTCAGGTTTACTGAGTGATTTATGTGCGAGTAGGAATATATAATAAGATCCTGAATATAGGTTTCAGGAGAGCATGATATGTTTCTGTTATGAATGAAGTGTTTATTTTGAACTCTCTTAAGTAATTTAACTGATTTGAATACTTAAAAATATCCCTTTTAGTAAATCAGGTCTTTCAAAATCTAAAATAAACACAACGTTAGTCACAATCTTCTTTGAAATAAAAAGACAATAATTTATCTCTTAAGGATAACAGAAACAGTATATTTATACATTCAACTTTAAACAGAGATTTAAAAAAATCTTGCTTAAAAGAATTAAAAATCATCAGCTTAAAAATAGAAAAATCTTAAAGGACTTTTGAAATAGGTTGTCAAGAAGTTGGGTTAACGTTTGTTTTAGAATTAGAAATTTGACTTGTACAGCTGTTTCCATTTTGATTGGGAATGAATTATTGATATGAATGGAAAATTAAGAATGAGTCACAAATTCTTACTTTGAAAAATTTCTTAGGGAATTTTTTTGTTTTTAACCTTTAGCTGTGAGATAGCAGAATGCCAGAGAAGTGGCAAGGATTTTTGGAAAAAGCCAAAACAAAAACAAAAACATTAGTGAATAACATTTCTAAGTGCTGACTGAGATTCACAGGTAAAATGAAATAACCAGTACTGGAAAATTGTGTTTTCGTCATTTGGGATAGAGCATGAGGCTAAGTGTCTTCCACCCATTTGGAAATTAATTTTGAGGTTCTAAGCTCTGCCCGGAGGACTTGTATGAATTCTGTTGCTTTGGCCTTATCGTAGTAACTAGAGATTGACAAATCATAACTCTTTTAATTTGGCTTAATTAAAAAAATGTTAAGGGCCTCCCATGTGCCACATACTCTGCAAAATCTTGGGGATGCCAGGGAGATGGTGATGTGGTTCTTGCCCATAAGTTGCTCATAGTCAAGTAGGATAAATGAAGTTTCATTTATGGATGGATGAGGCCGGTAGAGAGGGCTGTTCTGATGTACAATTATGTATGCATTTAATACACATATATGTTATATATCCCCATATTTAGTAAGTTACTAAATTATTTGCTATATAACAAATTGCCATACACTTATAGCTTAAACCAACACCCATATATAGGGTGTCCCAAAATTCACGCAAGAAGTAATTTTGATAGAAAACATAGGTTTATAATTAAAAATTGTAAATTTTTTATTGATTCATAAAGTATACAGTATAGGGTTATGTATGGAATTAGCACATCGGGTAAATGGCCTCCATGGCTTTGCTGGCACATACGCAAAGCCGTGGTCTTCATTGGTCTTCATTGTCCCTGCTCCTGGGCCATAATTGGTACTTGGTAATGCTTATCAAATTGAAGGGATTGAAATCAAAGGGAAACAGATATTAGAATCTGATTCAATAAACCAAGTAAAATTGGGCTTTTATTTTATTTTTTTGTTGTTAATGCTCACGCAAAATTCAAATCTTGCGTGAATTTTGGGACACCCTATATTACCTCACAGTTTCCATGGGTCCGGAGTCTGGGTGTGGCTTAGTTGGTTCTCCGCTCAGGATCTCAGAAGGCTGCAGCCAAGGTGCTGGCCCAGCTCTGTTCTCCTCTGGAGGTGTGAATGGGGAAGAGTCCACTTATAAGCTCATTCAAGTTGCTAGCAGACGCCATTTCCTTGTAGGTGTGGGATTGATGTCCCTGTTTTCTTGCAGGCTGTCAGCTGGGGGCTTGCTCTCAGATCCTTGCTATGTGGCTCCCTCACAAGCCCTGTCATGGCATGGCAGCTCACCTCTCTAACTCCAGAAAGTGAGTCTCACTGTCTAGTCTGCTGAAGTGGAGTGGTAAATAGCATAACTGGATGAAGGGAGTGACATCGCATTATTTTTGCCATATTCTGTTGGTTAGAAGCAAGTCACAAATTCTGCCTGCGCTCAGGTGGAGGGGATTATACAAAGGTGTGACCTGTTGGGGGTCACCTTAGAATTCTGCCCACCTCAGTACATTTCTGGTTGTTCCACTGACTTGTGTTCCCAAGAAATCTGATCATGATTTAAATGCCAAGAAGACTGATGAAAGCGCACTCCCCGTTGAGAAATAAAATCTGTTATCTGGCAAATCAGAAGTGGATTGTTTTCTTCCCTCAGTGGTTAGAAAACAGGCGGAGAAAATAATGCCTGTAGGTTCACAATATTGATAGGAAGGAGTTACACAAAAATAGTGAGGTGGGGTGGACCGCCACAGGAATCTCACAGTATCCTCTGGCTAGACGTAGTCATTTTTAAAATCTGGATGTCTTAGCATTGGCTGATCACTCAGGAGTGGCATATGGCAGGAACACGCTTTGAGGGACAAGTCTCCTGGAGAGTACACTGCAGCACACAAGCTGGACAGATGGTGGCTTATTCAACCTTGGACAGGAGTGTAATCCTACTCATTGGCAGGCGGCGGGCTGAGAGGTGCTCGTGGTATCTGAGGCAGAGCTGACTTGAGTTTACCTGAAACGGCTTTGTAAGGCATGAGGTGGTCACCTGATGTGACCTGGATGGCTTAGTGCTCACAGAGTCTACTTATCAAGTTGGGATGAGGATGCTGGTGACAGATTGTGTGACCTGGAAGTGGACAGAGTCTGGAGCACTAAGTGGATGACGTTCTACTAACAGAGTGTAGGGCAGGTGTAAAGACAGCCTTGTAGATAGAATCACGGATGTTACCACCCTAGCTAGGTCTTCACTAAGCAGGGGTCGGTGTTGCTCTCACAAAATTAAATATGCATTTCATGGGTGGAAAAAGGTACGGGGCTGGACCTGCCTTTCTTTACCATGAAGGATCGGTGGATCGGTGTGTTTGCAAGATAATTTGGATTGTTAAGAAAGAGAATGGTCTTTTCACAGCCATGGTTAGAATGTTTATGATTAAAAAAAAATGCCCCAAAATCCAATTAGGACATCATCCATTATTTGTTTGTGGCCCCTCATTGAAGAAAAGGACTGTGTGTTCAGAGGAACAAGTGTGGATCCTTTGCTTGGAAGATGAGAACTCGGTGCCCCTGTGGCTGCTGGAGAGCTGACGACAGGGAGATTTTGTTCCCACTTCAGTCACATCTCTTACCCCATATTTTTAATTCAAATTCCCTCCTCCTTTTCTTTAATATTTGATGCTTATTTTTGTATTCTTAATTTATTCATTTTTGTATTTGTGCCTTTAATTGTGACAGTCCTCACATATTTTTTGGAACTTGGGGAAGGGGATGTACTAAGTGAAACCAAGAAATGGTTCACTGAAATTCTTTATTTTTCCTTTTAGCAGTTCAAGTTCTACATTTGTAACATCATCCACTTACAAGACCATTTCAAGAACTGACATCAGTTTTCATACAGCTTAAAAGGTGAGTAGAACTTAAGACTCTTCTTTTTTAAAACAAAATTTTAAATTGATTTTTAGAGAAAAAGAGAGGAAGGGAGAGGGAGAGAGAAAAACCATCGATTGGCTGCCTCCTGCACGTCCCCTCAACACGGGCATGTGCCCTGACCAGGAATTGCATGTGCCTTGACCAGGAATCGAACCGGTGATCAACCAACCGAGCCACAAGGGCCAGGGCCAGACTCTTCTTTTTGATAATGTTTGTGAAGCAGACCTGTCCCAGCTTGTGAAGCAGACCTGTCCCAGCACTAACCATTGAGATGGTGTTCTTCTCAAGATAGTTGCACCAACTTCTAGGTGTAAGAATGTTGTATGATATCAGATTAAATATGACCTTTTTGTTGAATACACAAGCATATTCCCAGTGGGCCGGAATATATATTAAATATTTCTAGATTTACTAAAATACCTGAAGAAAAATAATTTTACTATTTTGCTGAGCTTGAGCATTTAATGCCCAGACACAAGGGATTCTTTATTTCTCATTCTAAGTTTTTTGTTTTGCTTGGTTTCTTACTTCATAAATGGAATAATACTATGGTTGCCATGAGAAATAAATGAGCCACCCTGCTTAATACAGCACTTGGCATATAACACACACTAAATAAATGTCAGTTCCTTTCTCTCAGCTTTGTGACATCAAGTGAGCAGATTTTTCTTTGTATCGGTAGTACACATGGTCTGTACAATGAGGTGGGGGTTGACCTCCTAATTTGCTGCATTTGGTTTTATGTTTTTGGAGGGTGGGGTGTAAGTGGCTGGGCGTTGGGGTTTCTGGAACTAGAAGCTTAGATAACCCCTATGTGTTTTGGTTATCTCTGGACATCCTCAGACTCCAAGCCTACATCGGAGCCAGCCCCAGTGGGGACAGTCAGGAGGGTGCCAGGCGCATCCTGCCCCCCTCAGCCTGCCCGCCGCCAGCTTTTCACCTGAGGCGTGCCTCTTCAGAGCTTTGTGCCTCTGTTTTTCTCAAACTCTTAAGGGATTTCAGTGATTCCTGTTCTGCCCAATTACCAGGCTGTGGGAGCCTCAAATGGAGAAATCTTGAGAGTCTTCAGGAAAGTAAGAAAGGCTCTAAAATATAAGGCGTAACTTTTTCCTAAATTTTTAATGTGCCAGGTGTAACTCACTGTTTATGCTCAATCCCTTACTAGAATGTAAGCTTTGTAAGGTCAAGGACCCCCCCCCCCCCAACACACACACACTTATTTCTTTTTTTCTAGGGCCTAAAATACTTCCTGGTACACAGGAGGAGTTCAATACAACTTCTGTCAAATGAAATGAATTAATGAAGATCACTCCTGGAGGCTCATTTAGCCTTTTTATTTGTGGTTGCTGTTGGAACTAGATGAGGCGATGGGCGAATCAGGAGGGATTTAATGTGCTTCCTCATTGAGGCACATGGAAACCTGAATTTAAATGGAGTTTTCACAGTGTGGAACCTTCCTGAAACTGTAGGTGCTGAGGAGCACGCGGCATGTAACACACCACACTCTCAGTCAGTGTTGGGTGCAGTTCCTCGGCGTTGCCGCGTGTGTGCAGTTCACGTGTTTCTTTCCTGAGTGGATTTCCCTGCCAGACACCGGAAGGCTTGGAGCCCATTCAGTGGGCTCTCTCAGGGTGTGTGGTAAGCTTTCATGGTGCATTCGGGCTGCGCGCCTCACGGATGCTTAGTGACTGATGAAATACTTCCCATTCGTGTGATTCTTGATTACGTGACAGGACGCCGTGATGTTTGAGAATCCCTTATCTTCCCTGGCTTGGTGAGTGTTGGTGAGCTGAGTGTTGATGCGCTGGGCTCTTTTTCTTCCATAACTTGGCACACCCACCACCAACTTTAAGTGGAGGTGGCCTCTCATTTTTACCAGGGCCCAGAGAGTGTGGGTGCTCTTTAATTTCTCTTTCATCATCTCAGATATAGTCCTCTTTGACTCTACCCACCAAACACTAAAACTGTCTTCAAGTAGAATTTTACTGAATAACTAAATACACCACTGGATTATGCCCCTAAGGACTGTACAGCTTGATTTACAAAATTTCAACAAAAGTAGAAATAATTCTTGCAAATTACATAAGTACCTGATTTCTCCCATATATGGGGTTACTGCCTCTGTCAGCTATTTTAAGCAACTTTCAAAATTGGTAATGGAAAACTTTTTTTTTCTAGCTACATTACTGTATATGGATTTTAAATACAAAGGTACAGTGCTCCTCTGAACATCAGCAGTTAGAGAGCAGATTGTGTCTGCAGAACTGCACGCCGCTTTGTGCTTCTCAGGTCATTGTCTTTCTTTCTTTTTAATTAATCCTCACCCGAGGATATCTTGATTTTTAGAAGGGGATGGGGGAAGGAGGGAGAGCAGGTAGGAGAGAGAGAGAGGAGAGGAGAGGAGAGGAGAGGAGAGGAGAGGAGAGGAGAGGAGAGGAGAGAGAAAGAAGTGAGAGAGGCACATTGATTGGTTGCCTCCTGCACATCCTCCCACCAGGGCCCGGGATCAAACCTGCAAACCTGCAGCCCAGGTGCATGCTCTTGATCAGGAATCGAGCCCTTCGGTGTGCGGGCTGATGCTCTACCACTGTGCACATGGGCCAGGGCTCAGGTCATTTTCAAGCTCATACTGGGATTCTGAGATGTTTTAAGAACTTTGCATGTGTAAAGTAGGTTCTTAGAGCTGACTGTCCTGGAATTTATAATCGCTCTGTTAGTTGTGGTGGAGTGCTGGTGCTGTGACTCAGTTGAGCACAGAGCTGCTGAATGTAGGTGAAGAAATCATTATTCAAGCTTTTGCACGATTTCTTGTCCTATTCATGAGAGAATGAAACCTCAGACTGAGAACTGGTTGGCTCCCAGCACAGACAAGAAAGGGTTAGGTGGGGAAAATCCACCTCTCTTTTGTTTTCCCCCAAGGTCCTTAAGGGACCTGAAGTGCCTGAGACCTGTGGTTCCTGTGGGATGCAACTTTTAAAAAGTAAATGTACACTTACTTAGATGCTCCAGCAATTAAAAAATAACCTTAGGCCCAGCCGGCATGGCTCAGTGGTTGAGTGTCAACCTATGAACTAGGAGGTCACGGTTTGATTCCTGGTCTGGGCACATGCCCAGGTTGTAGGCTTGATTCCCAGTGGGGGACAGGCAGGAGGCAGCCGATCAATGATTCTCTGTCATCATTGATGTTTCTATCTCTCTCTCCCTCTCCCTTCCTCCCTGAAATCAATTAAAAAAAAAGAATAAAAAATAACCTTAGATATAGATATAATGCACCCCTGACCTGGATTTCCTGTATTTGCATTAAATTTAAACTTTTAAGGTAAGTCAAAGAGGATCAGTGGTGCTGGGAGAAGTGCCACCTTTGAGTGTAAGTCCCTGATGTCTACAGCAGCACATAAAGTAATGCTTATTTTCTCTGGATGTGTCCTTGGTAGTGTACAATTAAATAGATTAAACCATGAAAATGAGGTCAAACAGACACATTCCGAGCTGTGGTATAAATGACCGAATTCTGCTGGGGGTTCCCAGCCTTGAAGGAGGATTTAGACCAGGGGTGGGCAAACTTTTTGACTCGAGGGCCACAATGGGTTCTTAAACTGGACCGGAGGGCCGGAACAAAAGCATGGATGGAGTGTTTGTGTGAACTAATATAAATTCAAAGTAAACATCATTACATAAAAGGGTACGGTCTTTTTTTTTTTTAGTTTTATTCATTTCAAACGGGCCGGATCCGGCCCGCGGGCTGTAGTTTGCCCACGGCTGATTTAGACTGTGCCTTACAGTGAGGTTGAGAGCATTCAGAGGCTGGACTGAGACGTCCCATCCTTGTGAGGAGCCGGTGCCTCTCACCTTCCAGGTTGTCATCAGGGAAGTAATGCCAAGGTTACCAGTGGGTGGGGTGGATCCTAGGGAGACTAGTTTTAGGGTCCCCCTTGGCTTCTTAGAGCCAACGAGAAGGGTTCTCCAGGCCTCATTTACCCTCCCTCCAGCCGGCCCATGTCTACGCAGCATCGGGGACTCGGATCTGAGCTCCATCTCACTGCTTTCCCTCATTCTTCAACTCCAAGGTTAAGAGTGCACTGTGAAAAGTTGCAAGTCAGCAAGGGCGTCAGGGATGCTCTGTGCCATGTTTGAATTAGGGACACAGCAGTGCACCGGGAATGGCAGCAGGTAGAACACCACTTTCACAGGCCGGGAAGAGGAACTTGTGGCCGCTGTCATTTCTGTCTGTGGCTGGGTACTGGGGAAGTTTTCTTGGCCTGTTTGTTGGATTCTGTCCTCCTGTTATAGGACTATATTGTTTTCTTATTAAGTAGACACTCAGAGTTGTATTAGAAAAACTCCTTTTTATTTTTCGCTTTAAAATCAAACATGCTGGTAGCCACATCAGTGGAGGCCTAGCACAGTAGTGTCAAACTGCAAAAAAGCTAGCAAATTTTCCACCTAAAATTTTTGTGGGGGAAGTAGGGGTGGGGGGCGTGGGGAAGAGTATAAAAATAAGCCTTTCAGAGATTTTGGGTTGCTTGGTGGAGTGTGTATTTTTCCATGGTGCGGGAGGTTAGAAATAGCACTGCTTTTTATGGGATTCTCAGCAGCAGCTCAAAAATTTGGCTTTGTGGGCTCAGTCCCTCTGTGTGGGCGAGGCAGCTCCTGCAGCCTGTGGGTGGGGGCAGTGCCTGGCAGCAGGCTCTGGCAGCGTCTCTGTCTGTCTTCCTGCCTCCCCGCTCCCCGCGTGGTGTCACCCGGATGAACAGCACTCAAGTGTAAAATGTGCTTACCAAGGTCAGGTTCTTGCGATGACTTGCCTATGGCAACCGATGCCAGTTGTAACAGACTGAGTCTCAGCGGTCCCCACAAAGTCACATTGGTCCCTGTGCGAGGGCAGTCACTGAGAGCAGGAATCATCATCTGGGAGTGGGGGCTGCCCTTCAGGGCTGCTCTGTGTCAGACTGGCTGGACCTCTTGAGTCTATCTGA